AAACTACTCATTGTTTAAAAATGAACCATCATGTCAACTATCATAGCGCAATTAGGTGCTGGGTACTAAGTTCTTCCTTTCTTCACTACGTGCAATGCGAACTCTGCACATAAGATGTGTTGTCTCCCCATTAGGTGTGGTAGATATGACGGCACTAGGCACATTCTGCGCAACAAATATGTAATCCAAATGCTTAGATGTAATGATTTTATCTGGTTAATGCCTCTGCCAAAATGCTCCAAGATTTCAATGACAATCCCGTGCAAATAGGGAAAAACCCCACCAAATTCCTGTCATCGAACCTTAAGCACACAATTTATAGCATCAAATTACACTTTTGTTAAAAGCGTTTTAAATATATGGCAACACATGTAACCAAAGTTTATCACAGAACTAGGATTTAAAGATGGACCGTAAGGAAAAGGTCGTACACGGTGGATTAGAAAACAGGCCTAATCTCCATAAAGTCAGTCGCACACGACAGCAAAGATCCACATTCACTATCAATTCTCAATCTTACAATGCTACAATTTTTCCTTAGATTTCAAGTCGATGACGTATTTACAGCCTGCATAGAGATAGATGTACTCACATTTTTTTACAATACTAAATAGGCAATTTTTGACCGAATACCAAATACAAATTATCTCCTTGACTGGCCCTTACCCGAATATGCTAATTCATATAGGGAAGGCGTTTAAACACAGCTTACGACATAATCAAGAATGCAAAGATGCAGCCAATTCTGGTTAGTTTTCTCGTTAAATTGTGCGAAAAATGTCTAATAACGATACTATTTTAATAACAACCTACTATGTCTCTAGAATTCTCAATTCCGATGACAATTATGACCGATTCTCCTGACTACCAAGCAAAGTGAGGGCGATATTGTAGTACCGCCATTCTGTTGCCATTGTTTTTATATGTTCAAAGTACATGTTGCCGTCACTTATATGCATTAACGCAGAGACACAAAAAGACTACCTAATCTAAACCGATTGTAATAATTTAATTCCCTACAAACTGCTATTACTTATTTGCAAAGGTGTATATGAAGAAAGTGCAATAATTGTATTAATAAAATTGTCTCAAAAAATGGCTTGATTCTGAAATATAACTTACAGCGAGACACAATAAATATACGTTTAAGTTTAAACCAAACAGTGCAACACATAGCTAACAGAATGCAATACCAATACCAATAGCATAACATAATATTGCCAAAACAAATCTTGAACTTCTGCAAGGACTCACTCATGACAGCGTTTGAAGAACATACTTGAGACGAGCGCCGACTCTTGGCCTCAAACATTAATATTAAGACTGATCACTAAAACACTGGATGCTTTACTGTTTGCGTAATTTTATCAAAAACATTATTCCTACGCTATCAGATCTCTAACTTTATGTTAGCTTTTCGGGTTTATTAGATTCGGCACTTTAATTTTAATACATGCTATGTGGGAAAGCAATTCGAACACGAATCCGGTTTGCGAGCAGTATCAAAGGGCAATCTCAGGGTTACCTTGACTTTCCGTCTCATAAATTTTCCCCCTATTTCCTTTCTTATGACATGCTCTCCAACGAAGTCGAATGTAGTGGCCCGAGAATTCCTAACCGGTATAAAAAGTCAGTAAGTGCAGCTGGATACATGTATTCTGAAGGCGGCAGGGCAAATGGACCTGGGCATGGCCCGAAGGCCAGCTCACGTGTACAAGGGTCAGACATATCCTTAAGTAACCGCCAAACGTTATGTGGTCACAAACAAAGTAGTACACCGATGTTCAGAGGCCTGAGCGTAGGCATGCGGCTCCTACATTAGGAACCTTGATCTTCTGCATTTAGTTTTATCGAAGTGTTCTAACAACACATACAGATTTTCCTTTATAAAAAGAAGACAATAAGCTGGGCAGAATGCTTGTACGTCAGGAGAAGGAAGGGGATTAAGCTATATTTTGGATAGAGGGCGAGCCTACTCACACTAGAACAAGACGGATACCGGAGTGACCTCCAGCCATATTAGCGATATAATATTTTGTTTGTGCGATCACCAGATGTCTGGCGTTTACTTTGGTTTGTGGTTGGCCATTAAACTCGTAGACTGTCATTCAGCTCTTCCAATACATGTTCCTCTCTCCTCTTAATATGCATATATTGTGCATAACCCGGAGCCTTCTTCGACCTAGTAGGTTTTAGGCCGTTAAAGGCAGTCACACGTACAAAATATTACAGTTATTTTGCAGAAAAATTCCACGGTTAAAATGACTCTATTTCGTAAAGCATTCTTAACAGCCTTACAGCTATCCATTGCAGTGCTTTAGGATTTCTCCGAAGACGAAGAAGGACCTTAGACATGAGCGGAATATGTGTATGTATGCATATAGCAGAGACTGAACACAGACTAGTAACATGGCACAGGGGCTAAATTGGGTCACTGGCCCTTAAATGAAACAACGAAAGGATTTATTCGTTGAAACAAAGAGAACTTCATATGCTGCGGACATGACTGGTGTAAAATGTAGTGCCTTTATACTGCAGTCGACAAAATAAAGTCATAAGATTTTTCCTTTTCCTTTTCAACTTTCCTGCGGCGAAATTCCCATGTGAGGGATTAGCTTATTTTCGACTATCAAAACAAGTTGGATTATAACAATAGTAGGGTGGAGTGTTTTGCGGCATCTTAAGTTTTAGAGTGATGACCATGCTTTTCAATAACAAGGTTTTAGTTTTAATTACGCTCATCGTCTCATAATTCAACTTGGAGAAGTATTTGAGCAGTTTGCATGATTTCAACATGTTGTAAGGGAATGGGAATTTTAACATGCTTCTTGTGGCTACATAAGCGACCACGTCGGATATCGCTTGCCAAACAAATGTAGCACCGCTTAAGTGTTACGGTTCAAGGCTCTGCTCAATGGTTAAGGCATAGATAGCAGTAACCTAAACTTCCAAGTTGCGTAGTATTTTAGCATTTAATGTACTTCCGCTGCTGGTCAGAAATATAATGCTTTAACTTTCTACTTATTCTGCACCCGACCGCTATATCCATTTTTTACAGCACGCACATTGGTTGAACCTTTGTTACTTGCGCACGAGCATTGTAGCAAATTAATTTTTCAATCCAAAAGCCATATCGGACAGTGAAAATGCAACCCACAGGCTGCAAGGCGTTTCGATAAATATATAAGTTTGGGTAGTGAATTAGGCAACCACACAGCTCCTTTTTCAATCGCCAACCTGATGCTTTCTGCTTCGGTCCGTTGGGAATGCACTAAAAGTCACGTTTGCAATTTGGGAAGGAATTCGCAATACTACAGGACAGTTAATTGAAACACAAGGTCAGGATGTAATCTGAGGCACCATGTACCATTTGTCTCCTCCTGGCACTTCGATCATAACTTCGTGCTCCTCAGCCACTTTATTGCTAGGTTTCGTTCAATCAAATGGTAACATGACGGTCTTTTCCAATTAATTAATTAGCTAATTTCTAGCTTGTCTCAGTAATCGAGAAGAGTTTTAGAGATTGCAGTAACTAGTTAACATTTACAGCTAGACTTAGTTCTTAGTGATTCTATTGGAAATCCAAGCACTTCTCATACTCCGTGGAAGTTCTCCTTTTCCTTCACTTTGAGATTTGGCATTTAGAGACTAGTTAAAAGTTGCACTTTTGAGTAGGGTTCGCCACAACTGCTGCCAAAATAGCTTTATAAGCCCTCTTCTAAGCAGTAGAAAACCAAAATTGCATAACGAAACGTGTATTGCTGACGTGCAGACGAGATGAATTATCATCACTGCCAAACTCACATAGCACCTTGCAAAAGCGCGACCTATAAGAGGGTTGGCGAAGTTCTAGATCACTGAAACAATAAACGCCAATTCTGAAATGCGTTAAGAGGTAGTCGCCATAAGTCAAGAAGACTGCGTTCTTGATTCCAATCGTGGATCTTGATGCCACAGGCAAAGTTGAGTGGGTAGCGTATCCAAAATCTAACCAGCATTTCCCGTTAATGTAAAACCTTGACCACTATTTTTTAACTCGTTTTTTTCGCAAATTCATGAGTCTTTTATCCTTTAATTGCGGTGTAGGCTTTGGAGCCGAAAAGTCCCCTTAGTTCATAGTTATGCATCGAAATCGCGGAGAATGTCAACGCCTTGCAGACCAGCCTTAACTTCGCAGATAGGATTAAAAGCAGTTCCAAAATTCCCATCCCTTAGCCTTAATCACAGGACCAAGACAATTTGCACTGCTTTGGGAATGCACGAAGGAGAACTCTGTTGAAAGATACCAAGTACTGCAGCACAAAAAAACAATCCGGATCCAGTATAAAGTCAGAATGCAATAAGAAAGACCACATGATCAAGGTGTCAAACCTAATAGGGCATTCAGCCTTGTAGCACAAGGACCGGAAAGCAGACTCATCCAAGTTACCAGTTAATACACGCGGTTTCCAGCATCGTTTCTGAGCATAACATATTCAAATTTATCTCACTCTTGCGATGCAACTTATCGACCGGCACCTCCTTTCGAATTAAAAAATTCCCTTGTGGAACCACTGAAACCTCGAAACGCCAAGAATCGGACACCTCCACTTGGGGTGGAGACTGTGGGAGAATAAAGGCAAGATACCACCTAACCTTCTTGGCGCACCGCCTTCGTAGTTGCAGGGACTACAAAGTGAAACACATGAAGCCACCGAACCACTCATTCTAAATTGAAAATCCAGTCGCTCCTCATAAAAGGCCTAGAAGTCAGATCAGTCGATACCCATACACTTTCCTCGAGATTTGCAAGGGCAATTCGTACTAGCAACACAAGGCACGTACATTTGGAGCCAAAAACTTAAGGACAAAACATCTGCCATCACGTCTCGCACTATCAAAGCATCCAACTTGGACAAATAAGCAATAAGTAGAGTTAAAAGTGACGTATTTCTTTGTGGGAGCAGCTAAGCAAATCGATTTAACACTGTTATTTACAGTCATTCGGGGAAGTATGTAACTTAGGAGAGGTTCGGATTACGAAAGAGCTCAGCCTGCTTCTTTATTCTATAGTCATAATCCTTGCGGTTTTGAATAAACAGTGTATATGCGTCTGCCTGTGCTGGGTCCTTAGGATTAGGGTGATCTAACAGATCTTGAATCCCCAAAAGTATCTAGAAATCATAAGAAAGCATGCAAGATACCTGCTTAATGGTAACCGCAGGACGCCAGTGTTTTTCTTCGTCTAGAAGTGAAAGACAAACTGTTCCTGAAGGGAAAATATTGGGATGAAATAGAGGCGGCTCGAATTTGCACTTGGGCGGGGTCGTAGGGTATTCAGGCTTAAAGTACATACGAAGATGGAAAAGTCCACCTTCCCACAAAGTCTAAAAGGTCACCTGAACTAGAGATACTACTTACTCCTTTTTTACCAGGAATACTACAATCCCAAGTCATGAGGTCTAGAGTGCCATCAGCGTTCTTAGTAGGCTTAGCAACGAACCCCTAGAACGTGAAAACCGACGAAACCAATTACGAATGGATGATCTCTACGCCAGGCTTTCCTTTCTTCAGCCAGCCTTTTCAACGCAATACCATCAGCTTCACTGTAATCCCCCATATCTCCAAAAACCAAAAAACAACTATGGCGGGTTTTAGCAGAGTCATTTTTAAGAGACAGTTGTTGATGAGATCCATTACACGGATAGGAAAAACTAAGGCTAAGTTTGAGGAAAACGGAAAAAAGAAGGGAAAAAAGACGATATACACAGAAGAGTTTCGTAAAAATTGTCTAGCAATCAAATAACAAATTGATTTATACTTAAAAATTTTTCGGAGCAAGAATTAGTGAAAGACAAGTGTTGAATAAATAAAATATGTGCAACTTAGGCAAATATTAAAATTTTAACAAAAACAAATTAAAAATTATATAAAATAAATTTAAAAAATTAATAAGATCTAAATTTTATGATTTTACGCATCTTTAAATTTAATCTAAAATTTATTTATTTTTTGTTCTCTAATGTTTAAATTATTTTTATTAACTGTTTTATTTATTTTGCTTAAACTTTTTCGTATATATGATGTTTGAATCGATCGAATGCCTCTTGGATGTTTTGTTTTGCGTCTCTGCTGCGCTGGCGATTTGGCTCGTCGAGTAGTGTACGAGTGCAGGTTATTTTTTTACTACTGATGACGGTAACGCTGATGCAAATGCATTTATTTGTTTCTGCCTGTGTCATCTAAGATGTGCCGCTTTTTTGCTTCCCTATTTGATAAGTCTTGATGGACCTTGGTGACTTTTCAGCGTGTCTTCTCAAAGTTTTGTAAGGTTTGGAGTGATATTCACAGACCGATGCTTTTATTTGATGTACATCTTTATCCCGCGTTCACTGCCATACTTATGTGTCGTGCTTCGTGTGTAATGCTCCAAAATTATTTGCGACTTATAAATTATATGTTGGTTTTTGTTATAACATTCTTGGCTTTTATGTGCTCTTTTACTTTGTCTAACTTAATTGCTGTTTTTAGCCGTTACTGTGGATGCTTCTTTTTCTAGAAGAAGGGAATCCAAAAATCGGCAATGAAATGAGGGCTAATGATTTTGATATCGCCTGCGTATTCTACAAAAGTAACACATACACTTATGTATTTGTGTAGCTCATGCCAACAAGGCTTTCTCTTTGACGTATGACCAAAATTTGACATTTTCGGCACTTTTCAAGCAGGCGAAGCATGGTCCTTTCTCTCCTGAAAAGGTGCCTGATGTGGGTATTTTTGATTTCATCGGAAAAGAACGTCGGTGAGTTCTTGTTTTCTGATTCACTTTTAATGGATTTGAAAACTGTCAATTTATGTACCTTGTTGATGCAGCAATCACTTGCGTGGGCGGCAATATGCGTCTCCTTATTTTTATAACATTTTTTATTTCATTGTTTTTGTGGTTATTTTAGTGCGAAATGGCAATCGCTGGGAGCGATGTCTAGGGCAGAAGCCCAGGATACCTTTGTCCAGTCACTTCTACAAATTTGTCCTCTCTTCGCGGCTCATCTCGAGGCGACTGATGCGATGTCTTACCAGAAGGGAACTAGTTTGTAAGTGTGTCATGCCAACCGTTCTGATACTCTTTTCACCTTTTTGTGCATGGGACATATGTAAGTTCCTAACCTCTTACGATTTAGTATTTAGACCCTTGCTATATTTTGGTCTCTTCGATTGGGCGATGGTTCCGCGGTCGCATCTACTACAACTGCTTTTACTTTTACAGCTCCACTTAAAAATGTTATGCGATTACTTATTTTAGTCTTAGCACTCCCTATTATAGCATCACTTTTCAGCTATGACTTTCATATCATGTTTGATTGTGCCTGTACTTTTTATTTTGATAAAACCAATCGTCTTAGTGTAACATTGTACCAATTCGATGTTGACCGGTCAAGCTAAGATTCGGGGAAGACCATACAAACCTGGTGTATTGTGGCTACCACACTTGCATTGCCTTATTCCTGCGCGTGAGTTTCAGTTGCCATCTACATCAGAAAGATATTAAGGTTTTGTATTTGGTTTAACGCACAGTGGTTATGCCGTTTTGACTTCCCACAAATGGGTTTGCTGTTGACGTTATCCTTGTAATTACTGTTGACACTACTATTTTGTGCGTGTTCATCTCCATTCATTGAAATAGTTGGAACAGAATCACGTGATTTGTCTAATTTCTTTTGTCCGGTCACCTTTTCAATAAATCTGCTCGATTCCTTTGTACGGTTTATGCTTGCCTTCTGTCCTGAAAGACACTTTCCTCAGATTCTTGCCATTGTGGTTTAGTTCACTTGGTAAGTTTTTCCCGTTAGTGCGCACTTTGAAGTGCTCAACACTTGGCATGTCCGTGTAGTTCTAGAGGTGGGTATAACTTAGCTTGCCCCGTGCGATTTAGGTGTCTTCAAATCATTTTATGTACGCCTACTAAGACATAATGCCTGGCTGTGCTATCGGTGCTTTTATTGTCAAAGTAAATGTACTGTGCAAACGACGCGTAGTCCACTCTAAGCGTGCTTTAGAAGTTCGGAGTCACTTTTTAGAAATGGATTTGCCAACGCATCACTACTGCTTCATTATTACCTTATGCCTCGACATTAGCTTTTTGTAGTAACTCAAATCAGCAACACTCGAACTGTATATCTTAGCTCACTTGCTAATCCTCCCGGTCGTTGTAAGGTCAAAACAATTTCAGTAATACACTGTTTTAAAGGCATTGATTCACGGGCGGATTCCTCAATATTTATGAACTTGCAGAGTGTCATTCTTGTTTCTTTTGTAGAGAATCTCAGGAATGCAATGATCTTCCACCTACTGCTGTCCACGGTTTGACTAGGTAATTGCTTTATTCTGTGGCTTTATGTACTCACATACTGCAGAGAACTTCTGTTTTGCACCCAAGTATCGAGGATAATGCATTCCATACATAAAGTATCTGGAGTGTGAATTTCTGCAGCCGCCATCATTACTGGATTCATATAATTATTATTTCACTCTGCCTGTTGGATTTTTATTTTTTCCTGCCATTTAATATTGTGTCATTTCCCAATTATTACCTTTGGTTTTCATAATATTCTCTTGCCTTTTTAACAAGGAAATGTCAACGCTTTATTTTCCCAATGATCTGTTGTATCTGTTCTAATTATGCTGCATAAAACCTTGACGTTGTAGGTTTTGGGCACACTTTCATGCGGTTTTTTTCTACGGTTTTTAAATCTGTTTAAGAAGGCCTTACTTTGTTTGAAATAGGCTCTGGTTTTAAGTAATTCCGATGAAGAGGCTGCATACTGTCGTGCAACGCATGTTACTGATGATTGGTGTATCCTGAGTGTCGTGTGGCCCAGTTCCACTTGCCTGTGTTGCTCGATTTTGCTATAAATCGCATATACGAAGGGGAGAAGGGAGAAAAGGTGTTTAGTGAATGGGAGGCTTGTTTGGTGATCATGTTTGAGTGCACATTGTTGTTTTCATTTGTAGAATTCGGGATTCGTATTTCGTGCATATCGTTTCTGCTACCTCATCACTTAGTCGTAACACAAACCCGATAATCTTTCTAGTTGCAAATTCTCTTATTATTTATAGTAACTCGCTATCCGACGTCCACAATCTCTCTCCCAAGCAAGAGTAATGTTGCATATTTTCATTTCTCTTATACGTAATCATTGATCTGGCTTTATACCCTTTTTTGGCTTCGATTATATGAGCGAAATCATGTGCTTCATCTTGGTTATTATCGCAGCATTGAATTAACCATAGCCGTAGTGATTTAAGATGTCCTCTGTCAGAAATCGCCATTGAGATTTGAAATGAAACCCTACTGTGATGTTTGCTTGTTAATTGTAGTGAATGACTTTGATGCATACCAGTAATCGCTAGCTCTCGTGTGATTTTATAGGTCTCAGATTCGTAGCGCATTAAATGCTCAAACTTTGCATCAGTTTCGGGCTTATGCAGCTCAGTATTACCCTGACAGCAACGCCAAGGTGAGTCCTTTGGCTCTTAGCTCCATTTCATAATCGCACTTAGGCCACTGGCATTCCTTTTTAGCGCGTGTATCAAGACAATCTGTTCTTTTGTAACTATTTCTGTTAAATTTTAGCAAGAGGAACTAATCGCACAACTCCAGGATCGCCACTTTCGCCAGTACATGATCTATGTATCTCGGAATCCACCTACTCCACCTGGAGGTATTCCTTCGCAGAATTTGGAGCAGCCATCGCCGAACAATAAACCTGGCTCAGTATGATTTTGAGTTTTTAGCCTTTATAAGGCGGAATAATTACCGGAACCAATTGTACATTACTCTCATCTTACCATTTCTAAGTGGTGGAAGAAAGTCTACCGATTCGCTTTGTATGTACGGGCATATTTCGATTGGGACTGTTATACTTAATGCCGAATCTGATTCGCATTTATTTTCAGGACCAAAGTCCTCCCCATCCTTGGGCCGAAGACCAATCTAACAGACTCACTGTTCCTAAATCAACTAAGGATGGAACGGCATCAAGTCCCGGTAAAATGTCTTTCGTCCATTATTACTAAAATGCGCACACTGCTTTCCCACAAGACTACCCACCGTCTGTGACGTTCAGGGAAGAACGTATCGTTTGTGCCTGCAATATTATAATGCTTATTCCGCCATACCTTATCCTAACGCAAGTCACTGCCTTTTTACCACTACCATTTATCATCTCCGAAATAATGATCCGTGATTACTATTCTAGTCAGTAAACATCGGAGAAATGGGAGCGATCTCTTGGCTCATATCCCTGATGGAGGGAACCACGTGGCAGTACCTCAAATGTGGACGAGGAATGACATCAACGAGTTCAAGGCGCTACTCGGCAAAGATCCCGAGTCTGTCATCAACGTGGGGAGTGGAGAATTGATTACAGTAAGTTCTTCTCTTCGTAAAAACAATAGTAGCACTGGGTTGCCACTGCACACACCTACTGTCTTTGAACTGTTCTCATTTCCACCAGATCCGCGTCTCCGTTGTTCCATCCGGCAACAGTCTTGTGTGGGAATTTGCCACAGATGACTACGATATCGGTTTTGGTCTGAGCTTTGAATGGCCTGCAGACTCTAAAATCCCAACTAGTAACTCTGCAGGTGAAGACGAGCAGACGGTCCCAACTGAGAAGCCGTTCAAGGCGCCCTGGAGTCTTATTCAGGGATCATCTCAGCCTCCTGAAAAAGGCGAGAGTAAGCTCACGTTACTTTGACTCATTGACGCGACCGCAAGTTCTTCTCTCTAAAATCAATTTCAGACTCGTCGCATGCCACTATTGAGGAATTAATCCCAGTTTATCGGAGGACATCCCATATGGAGGTGTATTGCGGTTCTCATCACTATCCGGCATCTGGCGGAACATACCTTCTTAAATTCGATAACACCTACTCTCTTTGGCGAAACAAAATCCTCTACTATCGAGTTTATTGTACACAATGAAGATTCATCCTGACGTTTCCCTTGGAATGATAGCTCGTTCTTCTGTGTGCCCTAGTGGCTCTTCCCAAGTTTTGTAACTGCTAATTTCTCATGCACATATTGGCTCACATTAAGTTGATGAACCCGCCAATACACAATCGAATGCACTTGTATATCGAGAAATTTCTGGACGGGATGATGTCTAATAAAACCGCGTTAGAGTAATAGGTTAAAGGGAACAACAATGACAACTTGTCATATTCGACGCAGGCCGTGCAGAGCATCAGTTGGATGAAGGTGCGGGAGTAGGGGCACCATTGAACACGTTGAGTTGGAACGCGGGGGCGAGTTTCTTAAGGGCGGCTACGCGATTGCGGAGATTCTTCATCCGTCGTTTTGAGGCGTCCCGCGTTTGCTTCACAGTGCTTTTAAGGCGACGGCGTTTCTCCAACTCAACAGTGGACACAGGTGGGGGGGTTCTTCTAAACCATCTTGGATAGTACGTATCCAGAATTTGGCCTAGTGGGAAAAACGATCCCAAAAAATGGATAGCAAGGGAAATAATCTCAAGAATTTCCATTGGGCCACATACACTTCATGATCTTGTTGAAATTAAGGACGTTGTGAACAGTTGAAGCAATAATAGACGCTATCTCCTTATCCACCAAGATGAAGGCCTGATCTTTCGCATTAAGTGTCTACAAATAGTTGGGACGAAGGAAACATACCTTCCTTGACCTGGGCAAGTGAACACCATAAACAGTGCCAAACTGTGCGAAATACTCTCGCAGTTGTTTTTCCTCAAAGTGTTTCGGTAAATGGGAAATCTTTAAGGCAGAATATATGTCGCTTTTCCTCAGACGTACGCCCGAGTTTTTCCTGACAGACACACGACTGGAACACGTTGAACTCATTTGACCTACAAAAGTAAAAGAAAATTCAGCTTATTAATGCGATATAGCAGACGCAATAACTGAGAATGAGGAACACGATCAACCAAAATCATAGAGCACACACGAGCAGAAACCACGACAGAACAAACGCTAGGCGTCAAAGGCTAGCCTGGAAAAACAAATCGTAAAACTTGCAAGGCAGTCTATTATAAGTTTCCAAAGACCAATATTACTAATGACAAAGCAAAGCACATTGTGCTATTCAGAGTGTAAAAAACTTAAAATGCTTATTAACTTGTATTTTACAGAGCTAAATCACAAGTTAAAATTTGCACTTAGAATTGTATACAGTTTGAAATATTCTAGCTGCATTTTTCACACGCTAGTATCGACACAGAACATGCAAAATTTTTGCCTTTTTTGTAATTAATTTTGCTTAACGAGAATCTGAACTTATGAACACAAAGATATATTATGCAATTACGTTGGCTTGTTCATTGTCGTCCCTGGCGCACTTTTCGACACGAACCTCATATTTCTGTTGTTTCTGGGCTGTGTTTGGTTCATACCCAGCTGCGGATTGCCTACAGTTGCACAATGGATTATGTATCGAAGGTATTTTTATTTGTATTTTGAAGACCTATTCTGTAGGAGATAAATGTTCGTTACCTGTCCTCTCTGGTCGTGTCATTGACATTTAATGTAGTCTTTCTTATTTGTGGCTGTTCAATTGTCAATCTGAACATTTTCCTCCCCATGTACTCAAGTGGAGTGTGGGACCCCTTGCTTTTTATGTTTAGTGTTACGGTACCTTTGCTGGTTACAAGAAGCTTTTATGCTCATCTGAAAGGTGTGTATATATCCCATCTTTAAAGTTCGAAGCTTCGGATATTGCATTCTGTAAAGCCAGAGATTTTTTCCAAATTCTGGTGGACCAGCGCAACTTCCTGTTTTCCTTGACCTTGATTGTTTTGGGTTCTTTTCAAGCGTTTACCGTGACTCGGCTAATGGGCTATTGGTAGGTTGCCTACTTCGTCCCATTCAAACATATAGTGAACGAAGTGCCTTTATTCTTCAATACGGTGGTTTCATCGGATTTTCTTTCGCGTTCTACGCGATTTCTCAAAATTTGCTGACAACCACCTTTGAAAATAAGCCGGTCTCTCTTTTTGGCATATTCATAGGCGCAGTATCGCAAAACGTTTTGCGAACACTGGGTCGAATAGTTTATTTCTTCTTGCTGTGTATGCTATTGAATGTTTTGGCGGGATTGGGGTATGCCTTCCCACTTCCAATTGCAAGTGTTGGGTTTATTAATTTCGACCTCTCATTATTAATGGAGATGTACGTTGTTGGGTTCTTCATATTTTCGACTTGGAGTGCGTCCCTCAGTGTCCTCCAGAATGCTATCACTAAGAGCTTGTCTCCCATTGAGAATGATGATAGTCATTTGATGGTTGTCAGTGAGTACCTTATTAGTTCAAATGTTAATGGACTCAAATACGTAAGTCTCAAATATTTTGAGCAAAATTTAGCATCTGTTGCTGGGACGACTTGCTGACTCAATCGCCGTGGATGCAAAAACTCGAGAAAAAGTATTTACTATCACAGATATAAGTAAGTTCTAACCTGGCGTCTTTGTTGGCAAATTGAAATAAAGCTGAAATTGTCCAACAATCTACCCAATCCTTACCTGAGAGATTCATTATGATCCACTTCTAAAACGGCAGCGCTATTTTCAAAGGAATCGAACCTATCTTATTCCACAGCTTCGTTGTTTTAGATGGCCAGGCCTCCCTATGGCTTCGGTTGAATGAGTCGTGCCTTAACATATTGACGACGTTTATAACTGGCTTGAACAAAGCTAATAAGCAGCTCACTACCGAGCACTTTTCAATGAATGGTAAGTGGGCGTTGATTCGCACTTTTCGCGCTCATCTTCTTTTCGACCGCAGCTTGGACTTACCAAATGTAATTGTTTGTGATTATGAAACCCTACTAGTTCCATCAGTAACCCATCTTTTAGTTCTTTTATAATTAAAAGTAAACCCAAGGTATCATCTTCCCCTCATTCCCGAAAACTTTTTTCAACTTTTAATTGCTAAATGAGATGTTTTGTAGCTACTTCCAACCCTTTCGAGCACCCAAGTATGCCCCCGGTGTTTCAAGAAACTGCTCCTGTGAAAGCACGCAACCATGGAGGGTCGCTTGTTTCGGTCCTCCATCACCTTGTGCTTGAGGTAACGATTACGCGCACTCACCTTACTTTGTTGAATGAATTTTCTTGTTTAGACCACAAAAGGCTGACTTCACCTTTTAGGCTTCAGATTCATTTTCAAGACTGCCAATTTTCCGATATTTTATGCGAGAAATACCGTTCGCACCTACGTGGCGTCTCTTTAGTTCCGGTGGAACAAACCAAGTGGTGGACATATGGAGTACTACGCAGGAGTCTCATCAAACGGGTCAGGCTGTTATTTGGGCCACAGAGATTCTTGGAATTCTGACTCTTTCATCGTACACCGAAGATCGTTTGGGAACAGTGCAATCCTCCCTTGGACGGATATTGAGTACGATAGACGAATCCTTGGAGGTATATCTCTTTGCCAAAATCATCACAAAATCAACTATCTGTCAGCACTACTTCGAAAATTGCTAGCAGTTTTGAGAAAGACTTGATTCCTACCCCTTTATGTGTTTCGTAACATTTCAGGGTATGGAGCTCCACTTTAACCTGGTTGGTCTTTCACTTTCCTATGGCGGCTTGACGGCATCCAAGTTTGGAACGCACTGTCAGATTCCTAGTCCAACGGTACATGAAAAGGAAAACGCGAGGACGATTGACGCCTACAGGTACGCATCGGATATTAACCTTCCATGGCGCATTCACGCAACATTGCGTTGGGCTTTGGTCTCGTGTGTCCGGCGCTTCGGCGATCACCTTAGGTACGAGTGGACCGCCCAAAGTTGCAAATTCTGCACTTTTAAGATCTTTCAAACGTTAGAGACCTTTAACTTTCAAACGCTTGCTAAATGATAACAATTCACCTTTACAGAGCGGTACAAATGGATGTCAGGCACAAAAGAAGAATTCTGCATATGTGGGAGGTGATGGCGGAGTCGCGTGACGAGCATTGAAAAATACACTTCACGAGGGAATGGCCAATCTACCTACGGAATTTTGTTTTACAAAAACCTCACGAACATACGTGTAAAATACGCATGAGCAACCTTAAAACAATGTATGACACCGGCTTAGGAGGTTTGAAAGTTACTTTTAGGGTATGACGTTACTTTATTCGACATTAGGCGGCCTTTGAAGAGAGTTCTTCTTCATTTTTTCTGCCATCCATCGTATGGCATCGATAACACCATCACTAAAAGCAAGAAATCGCGTTTATGATAATGCTTCGTATCAAACTACAACAAGATCAGTACATAGTGGGGGATGAAGAGACAATGAAAATATTAACGGGGATGGGACGCACCCTTTTAGGGCAGATGAACCACGCATTGAGCAGTCTCTGGAGCCGATGAGGTGTGCACTGTTCTGAAACACTTGTCTCACCTCAGAGACAGGAAAGGCAAACTAAAAAAAGTATAGAATGTGAGGTGATAGCAGTCGTCAAAGAAACTGTGGAGAGACAGAAAGGAAATAAAGACGTGGTCAGGCGCGTGGTAGCCTACGTCGAGGTCCTGCTTATTGGCGATGATCAGAAGAGGAACTCCGCGGAGTGCATGATTTTGGATCATTTTATCTTAAAAGTTAACCGAGATGACAGTTACCAAAGGCGGCTTTCGATTCGTTAAATCGGTCTGGATCAGAAGAGTCGATGATAAAGATAACACCATGAGACTCGATGTAGTATTTGTCCCATAAGGATTGCAGTTCAGTCTGGCCTCCCAAATCCCAAAACTTCATTATTATCCCATCAAGAACAATATGCCCAACTAAATGTTACAACCACTACAGAAGATAAAATTACTATTCAATCCTACGGTGGAGGTAATTTTGTGGGGGGGAATAGATCTGTAGGAATCATTAAATTTTGTTTTAGCCTGCTCAAGATAGGTCTAAAAAGATATGAAATCAATCAGAATTACAGTCTTTCCAGCCTGATCGAGGCCTAAAATCAGCACGGAGTACTCGTCTTTCTTTATAATTTGTCGACAGAAGCCGCGAATAAGCGTATACATAGTCAGCGAACTACTTATAGTTAACATACCCCACAGCTCATAAATTTCGCAAGGTCATTAGTAAAGGCTTAAAAAATATATTACGGAGAGGGGTTGCAATTTGCAAACTAATTTTTCAAGTTAGTATTTATGGTCTGATTACAGTTCAAACGAAAAAAGATCTGAATAAAGAATTAAAACAGCGAGACGAATGTAACGTTCTAAGACCTTCCACATGGTAGAAGAAACGATAAGTTGGACTATATACATGTTTTTCAAAGAGTGCAAAGCAATTAGGTCCAAACATGGCCCGAGTCACGGCCCAAGAATATGATGACTATACAATTCTTGATGTGACCACAATGAACTGCAATGAATTTTGATAATTCGTAAATTTTGCACAAAATTAGATAGTACAATTAAATGTAAACGTGCAAAATGAGACAGTATACTACGTGCATGAATTTGCTTGATCCAAAGACCCGACTAAACTTAAAATAACGCAGTAAGTGCAATAATTACTGATGCAGTTAAATTGCCATTATGGGCACTTAAAAGATTCAAACATGGGTTATGTTCGTGGGAACCGCGAAGAGACATGAGCAGTTTGATGTCGATCCAATGTCCCATCGATTCCTTCCCTGTCTTCTCGAATTTCCTTTTTTATAAAACGACAAACGAACCTTCCATAACCAACTATTACATAAAGTCGGAGGTGTAGGGGTTTAAGGGTATACAGGAGGTCCATTTATGCGGGATTTTGAAACTGTGTACTACATTGGCCCCTTATGTTACGACCGTACCAGGACTTCCTCCTGTTTAACTTGCATACCAGTCATCAAAGCCTTATTAGACCTGAGAAGGAAGATGTCTACTAGCCTGCTCTATCCGATTAACTACCATGAGGTTGAGAAGCTAGGCCTGATATCTCAACAATTTTACCAGTATCTGGTATTATTCTAGATTAAAGAAGAAATTGGAGTATAGTTTCCCTAGATCATCATGCGCGATTAGGAGTGGATGATGCAACACTGGTTATTTAGGACTTTTAGTGGGGAAACCGGTCCAAATACTCCATTGCATTGACTTGGATTCGAATCATTGGCATCGTTCATATTTGCACCCAGGTGTGATAAGCGTAACTCCAATGCAAATTTCGCATAGAGGATTATTGGCAAAGTCGCTGTAACGCTCCGAGACTTTCCACCGGACGGAAGAAAGTATTAGTTGGAACTAAACACATGTATTCTAGGATGATCAAAGATATTAATCCTGAGCTTGGCCCTAAGGCCAGCTCAAGCATACAAGGGCCAGCAAATGTCGAATTTAATCGCTAGACACCAGTGGTCATATGAACAAAATATTGTAGGTGCTTTGATTATTAATAGCAGTCTTTGTAATGCAAAAATGAAGTCGGATATAGAAGGGGATGGCACTTGGTCAGGGCATCTTAGGCAAGCACCATCTCATAACATTTTGCCTGCATGGCGATTTCCTATTACATTATGACTACTCACTAACAATTCAAATTACAACGATAATGTAATGTGCAATTTGATATATCCATTTAGAGTAATGAGAACAAGGTAGGGTTTTAGCGTCCCGAGACGTCGCACCGGTTGGAAGAAAGCACTAAATAGAGCTGAATACAAGTATTGTAGAAAGGGCAAGGGGAGTAAGCCTAAGATTGGCTCGAAAGTCCGTTCACACATGCAAGGGACAAAAGAATTATTAAATGACTGCCAAGCATTAGCTTGTTATAGTAACACCTTTTAGAGTGTATTGCTGTAACGTACCCAACCTGGTCTGGGCTACGCTTTAAGCCAAATTCCAGATAATTTTCTGCCGTACTAGAACACATAAAATCAGCCCGGCCTAATGCCTTGTTACATGCAGTGAAAATTCTTCGAAAGCTACAGAAAAAGGCATAGGGATGCAAAGACCTTATCCACCAACTTATTTTCCGAAAAGTTACATAGGGTTTCAAGACTTCCCAGAAAGTTTAAAAAGGCTTTAAGCTAGAAAAAAATTCGGCCTTAGAGAATAAAAAGAATCGAGCTAAGACTTGGCCCAAAGACTAATCCATGTAGGCAAGAGCGAGACGAAAATCATGTTTACCGGCAGGCATAGGATTCACACAATGTACAATATTATTCTCCCTTCCAGTGAGTAAATACTTTGCGCCTTCCTCATTTTACCTACCAATCAGGCGATAACAATGTTTTTAATGCCACAAGGGAGATCGGCATGCCAGCTGCGCCAGTTATCAAAAGTCATGAGAGAGAGGAGGTAAATCTGGCTTTCACAGCGGGGTAAAAAGTGGTCGGAACTGACCTAAACTTAAAGAAGATTCAATGTTCTGTAACTGCTTATATTTTCTTGGAACAGTGGCAAAGGAAAATAAACACAAAGAATGTCCAGATGTACAACAATGGATTTGATTAAGTTGTTGGTAAATTACTTGCAGATCACGGGGACACGGAGAAAATCAAGAGATCATCCGGCCTTGTATACGTGAAATTTAATATAATATTACTTTGACCTAGAAAAAAACGTCAAAAATGTCTGGTAAATTTTTAACAAGTAAGGCTGTAATATAGAGCAAAGCATTAAGAATAGTAGCATCAATGGAGTGGTTGCGAGGAGCTCTCCCTTCTCTCAGACTCAAAACTATTTGTCTACAAAAGCGGCAGATTACTTTGAGGTTTTATCGCACATGCTACAGATTAAAAGGTGTTTGGGGTATGATCAGGTTGAGTGTCCGGTTTTAAACTTAAGAAGAATCCTAACCATCCTCCATTGCGAACTTCAGGTTGCGTTACTGTCTCTCTTCTATAAAAACAATTTAGGCAAAGCAGTATCCTCGATAAAGACAAGTATGAGTTGTCGAATAACATTTACTCTGAGTTGGTGGTTTTCCGTTAAAACACCAGTGTTAGTAGGCCATTATAAATACCCAATCATTTACAAGGTCAAACCATACTTTGGGGTTAGGGCTCATTGCTTCTTCCATCTTGAGGAATGAGTGAAGAAGAAGAGCAACCAAAAGGGATTCTGAAGCATACTGACACAAACGAAAAGAAAAATAAGACTTTTCAATGGGATGAAATGAACATATTAGCAACTTACCATCCTACGGACAAAACTTACGGTCACATGAAGGTTGATGAGCCGCCAACGCCTTATAATTTTGAATATAATGCCTCCCAAATGCCTAACCAAGGGATTTCACCCGAAGTACTTGCTAGCAAACTTGCGGGTATATCGGATGAACCAAGCGAGATGCTAAATGTATGTTGGCTTTTTCGTACAATTTTGAACAATTCATTTTATTGCTGCTTCGCCTTTGGCTTTTTTCCTGCTCCCACTGCTTTTATTCTCTGAATGCCTTCGATTGGTTTTAAATATGGCTGGGAATCGGGACATGAACCGCTTCTTATTGTTACATTTTTTGTAGTTTTGTATTTTGTGCCAATTTCGAGTGGTGGCAAACCTCTTTAAAATGGTAGAAAAAAACTTTTTCGGTCACTTTGCAAGGACCATGATTTTAACTATCCATGTGCACTTTGTCTAATCCTTATCCGTATAGGTGGGGATTATTCTGCAAATTGGTGTGGATTCGTTTACTACGTTTTGTATGTAGGTCAACTTATTTTAGGTGTTCTTGTTATCTAACCATGTCTGTGACTATTTAATATCCATTGTCTCTGTTAACCTATTTGATCTTGTGAATTTTATACAGTATGTTGTTCACCTCAGAAACTGCCTTGAGCCGAAGATTTGCGATGATGTTTTATATTTGTGAATTGGCATCATTGCTCATCTTCTAACACTTGTTGAATTTTACGAATTATCTGTTTGTTTTCGGGATCATCTGTGCACGTTTGTAGCCCTTGTATGGTTTCTTTGAAGGAACTTTATAGAACGATGTGGTTACATTCGAACCGAAAGTGTGCGTTTATTAGCATGCCTCAGGCTATTACTAAAACTGCTGTCTCCGCGGATTTAAGCCTTGAGATTTTTTTGAGGATCAAATATCTTTATCCACTTATAGCCTTTTAATATTCTCTTAACTTGTGTAAGATGAACCACTTTCATACTAGTAATTGTTATTTGCATTTTGTAGAACTGTTTTTTTTATTTGAATATTGTCATTTATACTCATTCGTTCAAGTTGATCTGCACAAACTCTTAAATCCGCTCTTCTAAAATGTCTTACAGAATGAAGTCGCATCGGCACATTGAGTAGTGGTGCCATGTTGGTAGTGGATGAGATGTTTACGGTCGTATCACTGTGCACTTATTATCGCGTAAAATACCATTTCTTATCTCCTTCCCAAGATTCTCGCGATTTTAGGTTTCATTTATAACTTCAGATTTCATAAGTTTTTTGTAGATAACTTAATTGATGATGAAATTGATATCATGTTCTAAAGTTTAAATTTTATTGAGTGATTTATTAGTATGGCATAGTTACTCTCCCGTTGCTCACTGCAGAAAACGGTAAATGAGTGGATTCACTTATCAATCTCGTAGCGAGTTTATACCCTATTGGATTCGATGCTTAGGCTCTAGTCTTTTAGGATAGAAGGCACGATGCAGATGCCACTCTGGCTCCTGAAGAGGCAGAACATCGCCGACAATTCGAGGAGAAACGGAGGAAGCACTATAACGAGTACCAGGCCGTTCTTGCAATGCGGGGTTCACATAGCTCTGGAGCTGAGGAGGATGAGGACGAAGATGATGACTATGTGGACCCTATAGCCGCACGGAATGCAAAAATAAATTCTCAAACACACACTGCTCCACATAATCGCAAGTGAGTACTCGTCATCGTGCATCCACACGCACTTTTTCTCCCATTATTTTCATCTCAGTATTCTCAGAACTACACTCGTATTTTATGTACACTTCTGATACAATGGTCTGTGACCTACCTATTGCGTTCGAAAATGGTACTTCTTAATTTCCATTAGAGCAACGTTGGTTGCTTTGTCTGGTTTAAGCGAAATTATTTTCCCTAAAATTTGCAGTTATCCAGCCTAATCGCGTTACTTATTTTGTGGATTAAAGGACGTCTCGAGGACAATAGTACAGCACATTTATGGAAATTATGCAAAAGTTACCAAATAAGAGCCTCCAAGTATATGGATCCTGTTCATGAGTTCGACGAGTAAATTGTCTGCGTAAGAAGCAGACGTTTGAATTCACGATGTAATTGCTGCACTTGTGCTGAGCGGCAATCTTGCAACTGCAATAAATCAGTTGATTAAAAGGTACAGTTTCCGAGGTTTGAGATTGTCGAAATTCTGCGTCATTATGTTGCAATAGTTTTTAGGCGTTATGGTCGTGCAGACCCGAAAAATGGTGTTTACAATGCGTAGCTTTCTGGGAATTGTCAAATTGGTTTTCCTTCTTTCCTTCAAGTTCCATGGCAGAACTATCTTCCAGGGTATTTTCTTGCAGGAGTCCCCAAAATCACATGCATCTAACGGCAAAAAACCTAAGAAATGGTTGATTGTTCTGCGCAGTATCATTAAAAGACTGAAGGGAATTTGCTCAATACCTGCACAATTTCTCTTGATATTCGAAATAGTTTCACTGTCTGCACGGAAATCTTGAAGGACAAAAATGAATCACTGATATCTCAAAGTGGTTGAGCACATCCGCCGACCTGCAGCACACTTTTAAGCGATTTCCGCTTTAATGCTTTTTGTCATTTTGTAATTACTTTACCAATCATTTAGTTTTCATTCCACCCTCTTAGAGAACTCAAGAAGTTTTCTGGTTTGGCATTTCATCAGGAAGTATTACGACAAAAATAAAGGAAAGGCAATGCTTTATTGGGCCCTCAAGGTACCTTTTAATCGCTGCGGGTCAAGGTCCTTTTCACTACATATACAACTTTCCCTTATTTGAGTGGGTGGAAGTAATCGGTCATGGAAAAGGCATTCTACCTAGCTGTAGATGTCTTCCATTTAGGATATCTGGAAGAGAACGTGTAATTCTGGAAATTTTCTTAGTTTCTGCTTTATCGCCGGCATAATTAAATTACCATAGCATTAATTATTTCAATGCCTCAAACGAGTGAGGCCAGAATTACGGCTTCCAATCCATTTAGCAGATGATATCATAAATTTGCAAGAATTTAGTTTAATACATGAACTGATACCCAGATCTTTGCAAGTTTCCAGGCCACTAGCCATTACGAGGGAATGGTAAAGTTGCTTCCAGCTGGGAAGGTTTGGTGTGACTCCTTTTACCTTAACTGCTATGGCATCGATCATACCCCGCCCATTAATCCATTAAAAGCCTAACCGCATGCACTTCGCACCATGATTCGCTGATCTATGAAGGAGAGTACAATCATTCTCAGCGTTCCTTTACAAACAATAATTAATGGAAGTGAGCATCGCTGCACGACGTCTGACCAATGCATACGATCTACGGGGAAGGAAACAATGGAAAGAATATTGAGAGGTCGAATGCTGATGTGGGCTTCCCGGCCTGCCCACAGGTCTCTGAATCTCAGAATTCGTAAAAGGGTTGGTTGGGGAAGGCCGTTTTGTACAAAGAGGAAAGGAGGAAATCCACGGGAAGATAAACCATCGTCACCCAACGGATGCCTTTTGTTCCCCAAGAAGGGTATTAACCGCTTCTTCACAACAGCACACAGCTGTTGTAATATTCCTTCTTACTACGTAATTACTCCAGAATAGAATCATTTAAATCCTAAATCTATGTTTATGTGTCTTCGAAAAAAGGTAACATTTCGGGATCAGTTCACCAGAAGCTGAATGTGTCGTTTGATTGGTATTGAATTAGTGAGGATCATTTAAAGTTTGGGTGGCATCGAAGCGATTCTGGTTTATGTCAAGCATCCAGAGTTTAGACTACGCTCATGCATACCACAACAATTGTGTTTGATTTGAATGGGGAACATTTTCGGAATTTACTAAGCACGCCAATAGGATGCGAGTAGACCGCATTAGTACGCCTCCTGAATAAGAGAAAGAGATTCTCCACTTCTACTGATTAAGTTTGGTATTCAAGCGCCGTTGTAGGGAATACATGGGGAGTTTAGATGCTCAGAGTTATTAAGTAGTTGGTTTGAATAACTATTTTTCATTATTTCACTCGTATCTACCAATTGAGAAAATCATTAGAGTCAAAATGCAAAAACCCGTGAAAATGATAAAGTTGATTTAAGAATTCTCTACGACAGTCACAATTTTGCATTCGTAACTGAGGCTGCCATTGCATGAGGGTCACGTCAGTTAAGTAAACCGCCTTCCGAGGCCTAGGCTCAGCTCCGTTTGCATGTGAATCGCTTTGTAAATTGCCAGATTTAACACGATTAAACTGCGCACTGGAGTTCCACTCGTCGGGGGTCTCCTGACCATCATGCTATAAATTTTCGGCCCGTCACCAACCCCTAAAGGTTACAAATCTGCTGATCTACCGATTTTCTAGTCCCTTCGACTGACTGAACGGTACCAGACTGCAAACCCACGCCTGATTGCAACGCTGCCACTATCTCACCATTAAGTATCTCAAAAACAGCCTATGGCGAGGATCAATTACAGCCGACTCCACAGTGGATCGGTTGCGTACCACATTGCCCAATACGACAACCCCCTCTCGCACAACCCACGGCGCACGCGAGAACGAAACGAACCGATACCACACGACTCGGGAATCTTTATACGAGAAACCAGA